AGAGAGAGAGAGAGAGAGAGAGAGAGAGAGAGAGAGAGAGAGATGGAGGTGCTCGCTGGCGGTAAATCCAGCCCACAATAAATGTAATTTCTAATTTCAAAGGGTCCATTAATTCTTGTCCAGCACCTCTGCCAGGAGTAGTTTTGATGGGGGGTCAGGAGGAGCGCTAGCATTAATAACAACCGCCTTATTACGACTGGATGTGGCCGGCGACAGCGCCCCGCTTAGACAGTGTCCTCTTGAAAAATAACGTATGATGCCATTAGGTGCCATTATAGGTCAAACCCCACGCAAACACACCAGGGCTGATGGGGAGCGGCAGTAAATCACTCTAATCCAGGCGTGAGATGTATTCCCACATCGCCGAGGGGGACGGGGATTTGTGTCACAAGCTGAGCTGCAGTTTACCAGCTTGAGTCACGATGAAAGCTGTGATAGAGCTCAGCCGTCACTCAGGAGGGCTGAGCCACACAGCTCTCATCACCTGCCTTCTAAACCTCCCAAAAAAAACTCAGCGTGGACCTGAAGGGACGCCCAGGGGGAAAAGATCCAGCTCTTTATGCTAATGTGGGTTTTCCAGGTGCCCACGTTTTTACCTCTGCTGTGTTATGAAACCAAACTGAATAATAAATAACGCAGTGTGAAATCTGACAAGCAGCCAAGGCTTATTTGTGCAGGATTATTATATTTTTCTTCTTATCTCTGCTCTCGTACAGATCCGGATCATCATCAGCTGATGCTGTTACTCAAGCAGAGATTTGACTCATCTCCCTTCCTCATCCTCCTCCGACTCTCAGCCCCTCTGAGCCCAACTGTCAATACTGAGACGCTGAACGCTGCTCAGACTGTCAGGGAGAAGCTGCAGCACCACGTTCACACTTTACCCAGACCCTGCTGCACAGCCTGCATGAGCACAGACTACCAGCAAATAGAAGAGTATTAAAGGGGTGTATTGGGTCTCAACAAGACCCAAACTCTGCAGAAGTTCTTCGCTCCTCTTCGCAGGAGACGGGAGAGAAAAAGCAGATAAAAACTGTGAAATGTACACCCAGAGAGAGAGAGCGACAGAGAGAGAGAGCTCACCTGCCCACGGCGCAGACGAACCAACGGATCTGTGGCTTTTCTTCTGCTGTTGCTGCCGCTCCGCTCACTAAAATCACTCCCAGGACTCACGCAGAGGGAAGATAACCGGCTCTCAGGAAAAGTGGTGTCAACACTCGTCGCACAAAGAAGGCAGGCAGGGCGCTCGCTGCAGCGCTGCTATCTCTCATCCTCGTTCCTCCTCCTCGGTCTCTTCCTATGCTTTGATCTCTCTCTCTCTCTCTCTCTCTCTCTCTCTCTCTCTGTCCAGTGGTGCCCCCCTCTCTCTCCATCTCTGCCACCCCCTCACTCTCCACCACAAGGTGTCACAAACAGAGTGTGTCTGCACCCACTGCCTCTTATTGGCTCTCACTTCTTTCTTCAACACTCCCCTCCTCACCACCTCTCTCTCTCTCTCTCTCTCTCTCTCCTCTATTTGGTTTAAAGAGGCAATGCATCACGCCACAGCTGCACAACTCGTCCACACTAGATTTTTAAAAAACGGCAACACATAAACCGTGTTTTCAGGTCCTATAT